GAAGGCCTTTAGACTCCAAGGCCTTTAGACTCCAATGTAGACCTCCATAATTCAAGTTTTCCTGGGCTTTTTCTCTTGTCTTATCCACGAAAAGGATATTATTAGCAAAAAGCATACACCGAGATACATTCTCCTGTAAATGTCCAGTATGACCATCCATAACTAAAGCAAAAAGATATGGGCTTAAAGCCGATCCCTGATGTAATCCAAAAAAAAAAAAGGAAAATATTTGGGGAAAATATTTGGTCAATCCTCCTTCAGTTCAAACACAAGTAATAGCTCTAGTGACATTAAAATATTTATTATTTAAAAATACATGATTTCATCTTCAACTGTCATAATCTATTGAGGAAAACAACAAAGTGATGACATGTGCTCGCAAAAGAAGTAATGCAAATTTTGTGGCTTGGTTGATCCGATGAGGGAAATGATATAGAATGAATGTTTGTACAATCAAAGCTTATTTAAGGTAAAAATTATTTTTATTACACTGCTAGAGTGGAAATGACTTGTTGAATGCATGGGAGTGATTAGTGTATGATAAAATGCATTCCATAAGGCCAAGTTGTCTTGTATAAATTGTTCCACGAAAGGGCAAGTTTAGTTATCATAGCAAGGGTTTTTGGTTTGGATGACTTCGGTGAGGAGTTTACAATTATTTTATATCATTTGAGGTACCAAATTTTATGAATGTATTAAGAGGAAGAAGGTAGAGTTTCAAGAATTACTCTGTTAAGTATACCTATGCTCTTGCACTGATTGACCAGCTTAGCATCATCGCTTTGGAAGGCAACTTTTACTAAGATGAGCAAGCCCTTCTACGAAATATAAAAAATATAATATGATGTTTATAAGAAGATGAAGGATATTATAATTATTACACGTGAACGATATGTTGAATGTTTTGTGATTCATGGACCCCGCCTTATGTTATATGATGTGATGAGTACTATAAATGATGTTATTAATGAAAGATACACCTATATAAATAATAAATACATACAAGATACTTTGCATATTATCGAGATAAAATTATATACTGGTAGAAAAGAGGGCTGACAATTATCATGATCTTGTTGCAAAAGAATGAAAGGTTTCAGAATTGAAATTTGATCCAAACAAAAAAGATTATGCTTAACAAAGTAGGCCTACTAAATACCGATGGGATGATAACGCTATCAAATAATAAAGATAATGTCATGTGTAATTTGAATCGAGTCAAGATTACCGTATGATTGATGCTTTAACATATACTCAAGTAACTTTCATAAATGACTTCATGATTGATGTGTAAGAGGCACACATACCGCCTTCCTTTTTATGTGTATATTACACAACTAGCTTTATGCTCTACCAAGACTATCAAACTTTTAGATAAGAACAACTAAGGATAACATGATATTTCCCATATGTATGGCCACATATAATCGATGAAATAAGATATGATATGATGTAGTATGTTCACATGGACTTAATGTATAATTAAGCTCTATCAAGCATGAAAATTTAAAGTCATATGGATATCTGCTTGGTGATCTTAGTACCTCTATTGTTATTTAAATTTGGATAGCATTTATGTTAGTTATGGTATGTGAAATAACAGAGAAAGTTTTGGTTTACCTTAGCCCTTCTGCCTGGTTCAGCTTGTTTTAAATACTACAGTGTAGAGATATGGGAGGTGGTCTGCGACACTGCACATAACAGCAAGTTCAAGGAACTGGTAGCAAAATGTCTTAACTCTCTGCTTCATTCTGTTTTTGTAACAAGCCTTCAACTACTTGTGTTATTGAGATATACATAGACATGGCCTCAGCAAGTTCAACAGGACTTTCATAGGTTCTCCTTCAACAATGGATCTTTAACCACATCTTATGTAGCTGGAACCATAATTGGCTTCCAGCTCTGCATCATTCTCCGAGTTTATTTAACTGGAACAAACAATCTGCCTTAGTTGTGGACTAAATCCTCTTATTTTGGTGGCAACCCGTATTCTCCTTCTAAGGAGAGATGATTAGAGGTAGTGTTGTTGGTGAAACATTGTTGTTTTGAATAAAATTGACAAATTCGTAGAAGGAGCATGTAAATCCATTAAATATCAGAAAAGATATTTCATCAAAAATAAAAAGTCTAAACAGCCGAACTTTCTTGCTTTGTTGTGAAAACAACAATAAAACTTGTAGCTTTCTTCATAGACAATAAAATGCATTTCCATGGTTTTGAAAAATTAAGTTCGATCATTTGATTTTTGACGACCCCACGTAGTGGGATTAAGACTTTGTTGTTGATGTTGTTGTTGTTGTTGTAGTAGAATATATACATACAAAGCCAAATGGGTGGTATCATGCTATAATATGGTTTTCTCAAGTAAAAAGAATGAGAAGATGCATATTATTTGCAAAGATACGAGCGTATCCAATATATGATATATAATGTCATGAAAAGCCTTAGTTGAAAGGAATATAAAATTAAAGGAACTATTCTGACATGTTGGATTCAAAATAATCAGCTTTTAAAATAAATGTCCAAAGCTGAGATCAAATGAATATAGTTTGTACACAAAAGAAAAAAAATCATATATTTATAATTATGTGCAAAAACATAGAAACGTAAGTATAGAGATCTAAACAGTATTTCATTACAGCAATAAAGTTTTCAACAATACAACAACAAAGCCTTAATCCCACTACGTGGGGTCGGCTAAATGAATCGTTTTTCTCCATTGCGTCCTTTTTAGTGTCATATTTTCATTTAGTTCTAGTAAATTAAGATCATTTTTTATACAATAAGCCCAAGTCTTCCTAGGTCTACCTCTGCCTTTCTTAACACAAGTCGAATCTAAAACATTTACTCTCCTAATCGGATCATCAGATGGTCGACGTTTAATGTGACCAAACCATCTAAGACGACTTTCTCTAATTTTGTTTGTCAGAGGAGCTACACCAACCCTATCACGGATATATTCATTTCGCATTTTGTCTCTAAGTGTAAAGCCGCTCATCCACCTAATCATTCTCATCTCGGCAACACTTAACTTCTTATTATGCTTCTCTTTTAAAGGCCAACATTCAGCGCCATAGAGCATTGCAGGTCTCACCACCGTCTTATAAAATTTTCCTTTCAGTCTAAGCGGTACTTTTCTATCACACAAAAGACCCGAATCATTCCTCCATTTCAACCAACCAACTTGAATTCTACTGTTAACATCCCCATCTATATCACCATCGCTTTGAACAACAGACCCGAGATATCTAAATCGTTCACATCTTTTAATAATTTGATCACCTAAAATTACAATTCTATCACTAGAGCTACTACTACTAAAATAACATTCCATGTATTCAGTTTTAGTTCTATTGAAATGAAAGCCTTTAAACTCCAATTTAGACCTCAATAATTTAAGTTTTTCCTGGGCTTTTTCTCTCGTCTTATCCACGAGAAGAATATCATCAACAAAAAACATACACTAAGGTACATCCTCCTGTAGATGTCCAGTACGACCATCTATAACTAAAGCAAAAAGATATGGGCTTAAATTTGATCCCTGATGTAATCTAACAGAAATTGGAAAATATTTGGTCAATCCTCCTTCAGTTTGAACACAAATAACAACTCTAGTATACATATCTTTAATAACTTGAATGTAAGTCATATCAACACCTTTCTTGTCAAGATCTCTCCAAATGATATCTCTTGGAACCTTATCGTAAGATTTTTCTAAATTAATAAAAATCAAATGCAAATTCTCCTTATTATCTCTGAACTTCTCCATCAAACCTCTCAATAAATGTATAGCTTCCATAGTAGACCTTAGTAGACCTGCCCGGCATAAATCCAAATTGATTATGAGAAATCTTTGTAATGCGTCTTAAACTATTTCAATTACCCTCTCCCATAATTTTAAAGTATGAGTCTTAACCTATGAGTCTTCAATAATAATGGGACAAAAAAATAACAACTAACAAAACAGAAATAAAATGAACTATAAACAACTACGCAATAAGAACTAATATTTTTTCAACAATGATCCCCTATTTTGGGTCAGAAAGGTACACTACCCAATGGAAAGAGCAAAAGAAGAAAAAAAATATTAAACCAGTGCGCTAAGAAAAACTTAAAACTATCATAGAAGGATAGCAGATTCTTCAAATTGCAAATTAAACGATTGGCTCTTACCTCAGGCTTCTGACAAAAAGTAGCAAATTAAATCCTAAACGCTGAGACTGATGATGCTTTTTGGAAGTATAAACTTAGCAGACATATATTCCTTCCTCCCAAGAATAGAAAAAAATTAATTTTCTTATAGGATTTCAGAAATCTGCATCACAAAATATGGCAAATGAATATCCCAGCATTGGGACACAAAATTGGAATAAAGATAATGTCGAACTTACATTTATGGGCATTTCTGCTAGTATAAGTCCACTGCTCTCCTCCAGACCTTTCAAAATGACCACTTCGCCTCCAACAACCATGTTGATCACAATTCCATCTAGAGGTAAAAATGTATACCATTAAATTATTAGGGCATTTACATACATACCACATAATTCTTACGCATTTACATATCTAACACCCAAATATTCATATTTACATCCATGCCAATCAAATTTTTAACATCACCAAAAAAAATACCACCATCACTGCTTTTATAAAAGTAAAATATATCTTTTCTTGCATAGATTTATGACACCTAAGTGTTTCAAATGTAAATATGAAAATTTGGATGTTAGACATGCATAAGAATTGTGTGGCATGTACGTAAATTTTCCTAAATTATTTTGTGGCAAAATAATGCCAAAACTTGAAGAATTACCTGCTGCCAAGCATGTTGACATGCGTCTTAAATATGTTTCCTGCGAATTTATTTTCAAGTGAATAATTTGCACACATGAAGAAAGAAAAAAAATTTTCAGTACACCATCAAGTTCATAATCATATTACCTCTATTGAATTTCATTTTTTTTTTGTTTTACTTTATCATATTTTCATAATAGTTAGTTAAAATGGCGTCATCTGTAAACAAACCTTATGCAGGACAACAAATTTCAATGGTGATATATTTGAAATAATTCCAGTAACTTTATTTGTTGGTCTCTGATCCAAAAGAACACATCTGGATGCTGCCAGCTAACCTACCATGGACGGTATTATCATGATTTGTGAGAATAAAAACCATGGCCGCAGAAAAGAAGCACTGCCTTTTTCCATTGTTTCCAGTTACTATTCATCTCAAAAATGGAGACCTATCTGAATATTGATTAGTTAAAAATGAATACTTAGGCTGATATTAGAGTTAACCCAAATCACAAAAAGAAAACAAATATTATTACTGTAATACAAATAGGCTATTACAATCCATACACAAAAGAGAAAAATAATGACCATCACCACATGACTCAACTAGGGGTGTATTACAAATAGGGTGACAGTGGAGTGGAGGGTTGGTTACGGTTGGAGGGCAGGGCTGACGTAGGGGAATGGAAGTAGAAGGGCAACAAGGGAGGCGGTTGACTGTGGTAGCTAGGAAGGTGGCTGGAGGGTGGCTGGGAAGGAGGACCGGTTGAGAGAAGTGATAGGGGAATGGCAGCAGGGGTGGTGGTTGGCTGCGTTAAGTAAGACGGTGTCGGCGCTTAAAAGGGGAAAGAG